TCGAAATATCGATGTATCGATGTTGGCTCTGAAAATTTGCATCCCTAGTTATGCCGGGAGTCATGTTGGTGTAACTAACATATATTTATTTTAACAAACACTTCCAATCCGACTCACGAGTCACACGCACCGTGTATGCCGCCTATAACATCAAAAGCCAATCACGAAAATTTTGTTAAGAATTACAGTGCACACTTTCTTCTTTTGTGTCTAGTAGTTTTTTTTAAGATTGCTCCAAAAAAAATAATAATAAAGAAAGAAGCCAAAGCACAGAAAAAAATATTATTAAAATGACTATGTTTTCTTTGACGTACGTCAAAGGTCAAGTAGGAGTGGGACCTTTCATGGTTGCCCATTGATATCTCGGTTATATAGCTTAAGAAATAATATTTAAAGACATTTTTATCAAAGTTAATAGATATGACATTTGACCAGTTTTGTTACAGCAATACTCCTACGACCACCGGCAAAAATATTGGCTACAATATGTAATTTTTTTGCCATATATACGTTTTATCGGTCCACTTGCAAAATGTTAAAATTAAAGCGGAAGCTCCGCGGTTGCGAATGCGAATGCGAATATTCTGGTACATATGTAAGTGTATACATACATACATAGTAAGTGCGAACCCAAAATGAAAGTAGCATTGACGTTTCATCAAGTCATCGGCAATTTGATCTATGTTATTTTGATAAAAACATATTAAGATGAAATTATACGTTTAATAACAGCGCTCCGTATCTACATGGGAAAACTTCTTCTTCTTCATCGCACTTGGCATTACCACCCGTTTGTCGGTTTGGACCGAGACCAAAGAGCTTCTCCATTGCTTCTCTCCTGTTCGAATTTGCGCCAGTTGGTTATCCCGAGCGCAGACAGGCCCTTCGGCACTTCGTCCTTCCATTGCGTTCGTGGGCGCACTTGCTTTTGTTGTCCACCCATGGTGGCGGAGTCGAAGGATCTTTATACCGCAACGTCGTCATCCATGCGTACAACATGTCCAAGACAGCGTAATCGCTGTATTTTTATGCGCTTAACTACACTCAGAAAAAACTCAGACAAAAATATTTCTCTCAACGCATGGTGTGGTAACTATAACCAAATCATGTGTTGAGAAAAACATATTTAGTTGACGTAACCAAACTCTTTTCGCAGTGTATGTCCATGTCGTGCTTATACGGTTCGTCATTCCGTCTTCTCCGATACCCGTCGTCCACGAAAACAGGGCCGTAGATCTTGCGTAGAATAGTTCTCTCGAAAGCCCCCCTAATTTTGCACAAGGTTTGGAACTTTGATTTTTGGGGTTTTTGTTGTAGAATCAATGTAAAAACAATTTGCTGAATCCTAAGCCAATCTCCAGTCATCAACAACATGAGGTACGCTTAAGGAACGGAATGTCCGAACAGCAAATTGAGGCCGCTCTAAAGTGGCTAAGAACGATTTTTGGCAAATATTTTTAATTGCGGACTGCGAAGGCTGTTCATGACAAAAAAACGTTTGATCCAGAGCCTACTATAATTTTTATACTGAAAAGAGTGTGTTAAGATGGAGCTTCCGAAACGCAGGAAATGTCCATTTATTTAAAAGACTTTAAAATTTCAAGGATATGATTAATCCAAAAAATTAGTGCATTGTCGAACAACATTACAAATTTAATCAGAACCAAATCGCAGGTCGAGCGACGCCGCAATATTTCGCCCAGTAAAACACCACCGAAACGAAATTCGCATCAACTGAATGACAAACGAAAACTATAAACGTACAAAAGCGAAAATATGAAACCCCAAATTTCGTCAGACGAAATTCGTCGCCGCTTTGGTTGTGTGCAATCTCATATACTACGATGTGTTCTAATTCTGACACCGAACTTTCTATCGATGAAGTTCGCTCAGTATCACTTCTTTTGTCCCATTTGCTTCCATATAACGAATACCCACGATTTATTTTAATATGGAAGAAAACCGCAACATCTTCGAAAAAAAAGAATTCTAAAAATCAACGCTAATTGTTAGCCATTTGAGACTTGTGCCTTATTCTAATAGAATCAAATGTGCTATAAAACTGTATACTCAGAATCCTTCTCGGAAATCTAATGAAAAAAGCTCGAAATTTTTACGAAAGTTTATTCAATTTTTTTTTATCTTACACAAAGTTTGAAACCACCGAAATTAAAAAAAAAAATTTAATTTAAAATGGTTTCGCGAGTGTATTGATTTTTTGTGAGTAAAATGTACTGCCATACGGTGTTTTCTAAATTATCTCTTTTACATATCCCCCATTTCAGGCGTATTTACTTAACATACCTTCATGGGACTGGAAACAGGGTGATGACGTCATTTGCTTAGCCGAACTTAAACTTGGTTTTATAGCGCAGAGTTGTTTGGCGCCTGGCTTCTCAACAATGATGGCCAATTTGTTTGCGATGCGATCGTTTAAGACTGTAAGTATTCGCAGTAACACAACTTAAGTAGCGACTTAACTTTAAAATAACGGCCAATAAAAAGCAATATGAACCTTTTGTATTAAAATTGTCTATGTGTAGAGAACTAAACCTTCAAGTCTGGCAGCAAACAAATATTGTTATACAAGTTTATTGTACTTTGATAAGCCGCAGTACAGATAAATTTCTCGGACAAGCCGAATTTACAATAACCTCTATCTCATTCACTTGCCAGTCTTGCGCTGTCAAAATAGTCTGATCTTGTGAAAAATAAAAACTTGACACATTTTATGTTACAGATTTTTTGATTTCAAACCTCCTTATGAACAATTCAACGCATTTTTTTT